TCTGACCTTTGTGCATATGTCATTTGTAGAGATTGCTGTAAATGCAAATTCTTTTAAATTGATTAACCACATCCAGTTATTCAATTATTTTGACAAGAATTCAAGAACTTTGCTTCCCGTCTTTAAATAGTTCAAGATTAATGCATTCTTCTATGTCCAGATATATGCCATGTCTCATCACTAAACTTCTTTGTGGCTCATGTTCAAGTGTAAATGATTATTTTGTTGTGGAGCACTGCGACTTTTCAAAGAATTATATCTATGGCTCCTCTTTCAGTTTGCGCTGTGTCCAAACCCACTCATCAAATAATTAGCCCATACGTTATAAACACTTAGCGGGTTATTTATTAAAGAAGCAGCAATCTAATCTAAAATACAAGCCTTGTAGACTCAGTAGGTACAGCTAGAGGAGCTGAGTCTTTGAAATACAATACTCACCCAAATATCAGCGAGCACACTGCACCGTTTAATTTTGATAGACTGTTGACTCTGCATTTAGTGTGTCGATCAAGATGCCATTGTTGGCCTGTCAATTCTGCAGTTGTTACATGAAAATAAGTCTTCCACTTTTGTCCCAGACTGCCATGTTCTGGCAATTACTTGTGTTCCACTGTTAATGACAAAATTTTGGCCCACCCACATGCTAAAACATTAAAATGTATCATGATATGGTAATGCTGGCTTTTAGCACAGAGATTTCAGAAATTTACTAAAGTCATCATTGTTTTGTATCATCAGAAATGATAGAGATGATGTTTTCTTCAAGGAAAACAGTCGTGCAAACCCTTAAGACTTAGTTGAGATGGAAAAATGTTTTGCACTGAGTCAGATTTCCTGCATTTTTGTCGAGGATACTTTATCATTATTAATACTATTTGAATTTTAATCAGTGACTCACTATGAACAAACAACTTTGGTGCAGCTCAAAAAACTTTCCGCTTCTAGAAGTCATTGCTTCTGCAGACAAAGATTAACTGGGAAATTATGAGTCTGTGTGTAATTTCTGCCTTGTTGCCAACCTCTGTTGTTCAATGATGTGAGTAACAACAACAAATCAAAGAAGCCTTCTGGAGTCTCTCCCCTTCATTTCCCTCCAGGCAAGCCAAACAAGCAAACTGCAATAGAAAGGCAGAAAAAGCAGCACTGTAAACAAGCTATTGATGGCTGAGGTGAGTCAAGCAAAGTGCATCTATACGGTCAGTGCTTTGTTGTTAAAGTTCAGTGCATTTTATAGGAAAGTAGTAATGAGCACTTCCTAGGTAGTGTACAGTATACGAGGGTAGGTAGCTTGTTGATTTTCTTCTTTCGGCTGCAAATATCTAAGTGTTGCTATATATTTGGGGAATTAGTGGATATTACATAAAGACAATTTCAGTATGTTGTGGAATATAGGAAACCTAAGCAAGGTAAATGAGACAACATGAATGATCAAAAAACAGTTTTGCAATTTTCCCAATGAATGTCTAACATTATACGTTTCGAATAATAACATCAGCATATGAAAAAATCAGCCTCTCAGAATAAAATTAGCCTAAGGACCAAGTCATAAAGGCTCAGAGACAGGCCGGTGACTTCCAGTAACCATCGGTCTTTACGGAAAACGGTTGCAGGTAGTTGCTTGCTGTCAGAAGGTGAAATTGTTCACAAAGAGGTGGTTTGTATGGAAGATGCCTGCAAACATTCACAAACTACTTGCAAAGCAATAGTTAAAATATGAACAAACAGGAAACAGAGTGTGTTCCCTTTAAAAGTAAAAGCTGTGCCTTTTGATATGTGTTGAAATATTTCTGGTAGGTCAAAACTTTTACTTGAAGGGTGAACATTCTTCATTCACCAATTTCATCCAGCAATCACTGTCACATTCATGGGTCTATTGACCCAGCGTTTTGAGTTTTAGTTTGAATGTTTTAAGTTGGATGTCAGTGTAGTCAGCTTTGGTTCCTTTGTCTCGTTATGTCAGACTAGTGTCAGCTGTTTCCCCATGTGTTTCCGCTTCCCCTAATCACTCTTGTGTGTATTTAGTCTGTGTATTTCTGTTCATTCACTGTCAGGTTGTCACCACAGCTCATAGCAGCATGAGGTGGGTGATTATATTCTGAATCCACGTGGTTTTTCTAAGGAGAATATTGAAACAAACAGTCTTAAAGATTCATGGGCATGTTTATGAGCTGACTGCACTGACATAGGACACAGACCTTCAAAATAAAACAGGAAACATGAGATGTAGGCAAGACAAAATAAACTTGACACCATAAGAAACGCAGCATGAAACAGGGAGAGGGAAACTCAAATACAGGGGTAGAAAACACAAAGAGAAACTAATAAACAAATGAACTTAGCTACCCTAAAGAACTTAAAACATCCAAACTAAAACTCAAAACGCTGGGTCAGTAGACCCAGGAATGTGACAATCACTTGCACACCAGTCAGTGAATATGTTTCCCTACAGCTTCCAGCAGTCACCAGGGTGTTAGGCACTGGTCTCTAGACCTAATAAGTGATGGCACCAAAGTGACTTCTTTAGACAAAGGATGAACTGAAGGGCTTCTCTTTGATCAGCATATAATATATAATCATTATTTTTAATTGTAAATCATGCAAACCTAATTTGCTTGAGCGTAACAAAACAAACACAGGGTTGGAAATTAGCATAACTTGTTCCCTTTAATTCTTATACTGGCTTTCCAGGAAGCACAAATAGGATGAGCAAAATTTAAAAAATTAAATATGACGATTCTGACTTGTGAGGCTTTGTTTTTTGTGAAAGAGAAAGTAAAGTTTTGAAAGCCTTTTGCAGTCTCTCACAGTGAAAACTGTGCCGTCACGGCACTGGCTGAGTTTTTGCAACAGTGGCTAAATTATGTTTTGGTCTATTGAAACAAAATGTTTTTTGGTTCTCCTTTTGTCCCTGTGTGATGGGTTTAAAATGGCCTGGAAAGATGACATTCTGTAAACATAACCAGCAACATGGGTTTAGAAAATAGAATCCATCACTCAGTACTTAGTGTCCTCATTACCTTAATCACATTACAATGTGTGACTAGGTGAGCATAGAAACATATCTGCTGGATAAAGAAATATACAGACAAAATTAGTTAGACAAGCATAACCAAGATGAAAGGAGATTATGTGATTTTTAGCAAATGTGATGTTTTGCCATCAGGAACTGCAAGTTTACAGGATTTTAATGCATTTTAGTGCACCAAATGCCCATTATAACATATGTGATGCCACAATGTGCCACAACATGAGTATGAATAGAGTGACAAAAAAATCTGTTTATATTCTTAAAAATTTACACTGTAATATCCACAGGAAAAATATGCTGGCTTGAAGAAGGTCATACTGTTAAGTAACAAAAAATTAATTGTTGAATTAATCATATTAATAATTAAATATTGTAGCAATTAGTGTTTCCACATCATTTGGTAGTGTTAAATATATCTATTTCTTTTTTTATTTAAATTTACATATATTTATGGAACAAAAATATAATAAAAAATAATGATTAAAAAAACAATAGTTCTGGCAGGGAAAGTGGTAAACAGGTAAAAAGAGGGTTTGTTGCTTTATGCTGGACAGATATTTTTTGGTTAATGAAGTATTTTTCCAAACCTGCCTGAACCATGTAATATTGTCCAGAAAAGGAATGTTTAAAGAAGTTTTTTGTTTTTACATGATGCTGTGATAAGTAAGTAATATGATAAGTAGTAATCTTTCACCTGTCATAAATCCTCTTCTTTTGTCTACTCAAACAGAAGAAAACATGCCCAAATGCTGACTTTAACCAATTTAATAACATGTAAATTTTCCATATAAATTTACCTCATTGGTATACACTCAAGCACATTTTCATTGATTAATGATGTTGTATGATTATTTGAATAAATAAACCTTTGTTTTCATATAGTTCAGTTGCATTTTATTCAAAAATGATGTCTTCATGTTTATTTGAGGGTGAATAATAATTTTTTTGAATGTGTAAGGTAACCTTGAATGCTCTGAAATCTGCCTAAAGTAAAAGGTATTCTTGTTATTCATAGTCATTATTATTATTATTATTATTATTAGTATTGTGTGAAAAGTGGTCAATAAAGAGATGCTGAAAAGAATGTTCATGCAAAACTCGTCGGTTTACAATGGGACTTCTGCTTCTGAACCTCTGCGCACAGCGTCTGCAAATCAGGGCTGTACGAAGTCACTTTCATCTTCACGCAGGACTGTAAGCTGTCATCTGTGAGGGGTGAGCGGTGTTTGTTTTTAACATAGTTCACGGTGGAGAATAGCTGCTGACATAATGTGGATCCGAAGATCCATAATTGGCCTACCTGGGGTTGAAAGTCTCGATAAATGCATGGCGTTTCTGCGGGTATATCAGCTTCCGCGAGTGTGACGCTTATTTTGAGTGATGAAAAAATAATAAAATATAATTTTATTTTTATATTTCAATATCACAATAATCTTCCTATTTAGAACTACAAGTTAAAAAAGAACTAACGTAAATAAAATACACTTCAGCTAAATACTTCTAATTTATTTTCCCAAACCACGCGGAGCTGCACTATAAGGACTAAAGAGCCGCAGGTTGCCGACCCCTGCACTAGGGGGATGGGGAATTCAAATATATATTCCAGGCAAAAAGGTATGCATTTACTGCAGCCAAATTCAGGGAGGCAACCTGCACACTGAGGTCCACGGGATATCCAAGAGATGGTAATGCCGTTTGACTCGATTGTTCAGTAGGTCAAGCTGATCTATTATCATGAGTATAACCTGCATCAGGCAGTTTACGTATACAGAGTTAGTCATCATGGCATAAAATCTTGGGTAACCATTTCTTATAGCACAAGTTAAATGGGAAGTTATACCCAATTTCAAACAGTTACCCCTTAGGTTACTTATATAAGCCAGTTGCATTCATTTATAGTACAATACTTACATGGAGCAATTCTGATATGACAGCATATAATAAAGATGCTGAGTGTACACTGCATGTGCACCCTTAACTTTATTTCACAGTACTTTGTCTGAAAGCAGATAACATAGTATTAAGAAATAAAATAAAAAAAACACATTTTGTGCTCTTGTTTGTTTTGATGCACTTGGACAACAACTGTTGATCTTTCTAAAGGTTTTCTCAACACTTAAAACTCTTATTAGACACAGAAGTGCTACAATATGCAGTATAAAAACAGGTTGCTAAATAGCTAAATGAACAAGAAACCTGACAGCTCTCATGAGATACTGAAATGCTTTTTATAAAAAATAACAAATGGAGACTTAACGACAGTATCAACATTGGAAATGAAACAAAAGGAAGTTTACTCTTGTACACATACAGTATCCCAAAATCTTAAGGCGGTTGAAGTATTAAGTCAGACAACCCAGTTAACACTTTACAAGGTGCTTATATAAGACATTCACATCAGGCTCATGAATGCTTCATTTCACATTAATGAATAAAAACAGCTTCATGACACACTTAGATGGAATGGACACAGAATTATGACAGAAAAAATATAAATAGGGTAATAAATGCCTGCAGTTACACTTACACACTCAGTGTTGGATGAAAAGAAAGAGCTGATGAAAACATTTTTCACCAGACAATTGTCTTTCCTCGGGTTAGCTCTATTGTCAGATTGTAGACTCTCAATTCTCGCCTTAATACAAAATTCATACATAACAGCATATGTCTGCCATTCTTTCATGTTTTAATTCATTGATCATCTACTGTTTAATATTCATTTGCATTTGAAGTGCTTGCATTTGTACGCTACTAAGAAATGCATGTGGTGTTTTTTTAGAAAAAGCAGCAAGGAGACACCTGACAAGAAATGTGTTTCCTGCTCCCACAGAGGAAAATTCTGACTATATTTTAGGTGATGCGTCATCAGCCATCTGAGGACTACAGCCTCTTTTATCTAACTCGGATTGTTGCAATAGGGTTGGATTCGTACCCAGAAAAAGATAACCAACTGGTTGTAATTTGATCTGTTAAGTGTAAAGGCTTTTGCGCTTGGCTAAGGAGGATGGATTTGTAAATCAGTGAAAACAAAAAGTGCACCAAGTGCGGTGGAGACAGGCTTAGTGTCACATATGTATCAAGTGAACAGATCTGATCTGTGTGAAGCAATGAGGAGACTTTATGTCTCTCAAAATAATGCAAAAAGCAAATCAAGATGTTATATTTACATAAATGGAAATTACTTCCACATTGCTTTTTTTCATTTGAAGTTTGACTAATGACTCTTTCAGGTACTTGATCTCATTTTCTTCTTCTGCATCTTCAGTACTAGACTGTCCATCAACTGTTTTTATTCCGATTAACTGACTTTTAATTTTCATATAAAACTTGGACGGATGGAAAATGTACATTAATTTGCATTTTGCAAGAAAAAAAATCCACTGGACGAGTGAACACATGCAAAGAGATAATTGAAAATAAAACTACCTCTACTTGGATAAGCAGTTTTCCTTGTTTCCTTAAATTGACAGCGATGAGAACACTTTGAAATCATGACTATAGAGTAAATGATGTAAAATGTTACCACAAATTCTTTAATAAACCCAAATCCTACATTGAATATACATTACATCATTGCCCTTCTTCAAAATGAGCAAGAGAGAAGCAACTAATTATTGATAAATATGTGATAAATCATCATGAGCCTGTTTGGAATGATTTATATAAACAACTTAGAAAGAAAAAAGTGTTAAGTATTATATGTATTTAAAAAAAACCTCAAAATATACAAATTCACAGCCAGTAAGTCAGAGGATTCAGTTTCACATTCTCAAATTTCACTCTAGCTGTTGATATTTGCCTGGTATGAAGCTTTCATAATATACAAAAAGATTTAATAGCCTAGCAGATGAAAAATAAAATGAAACCTCTCAGCAAGCAACACGGCCCATCTGAAAAACCAACTACTTTCCTCCATTTATTGGATCAGACATTATGCAATATAATACACTGGAAGAAATATTGAAGCAAAGGAAAAACAAAAACACCGTAGTTTATAACATTAAATAAATATTTCCTTGAAAATATACATAAAAAGCTGCCATAGACAGATCAAAATACATATCTGTTACATTCATCCATCGGGCTCTCGTGCAGGGCACAACATCTGTCCATGTACCTAAATGACAGGTGACAAAGTATAGCCGTCTTCCCTTTGAAATTTTAGTGATTAATAGTAGGCTTGGACACCACATCCTGTGTGTAGATATTGTGATTTCCCAATGTTTCTCTTTTGAAGAAGTAACTGATAAGACAGAAAAAGCAAAATCTTCATGGACCCACTGCATGTTATGATCCCCAGGCCGTGAAGAAATATTGTAAACATTTCAGCCTTTTTTTTTTTTTTTTTAACTTTGGTACTAAAGTTACAAATGGTGGTTCGTGAAACTAAGAGAACATCACTAAAGTATGACATATACTGCACTTTTGAAGTCTTTCAAGATACTAAGTGATTCAGGGTACTTAATCCATTTGAATCATGTAAAAGATGTAAAAGCCTTCATAGAAACAAAACAAAACAAAACAAAAAAACAAAAACAGAAATCAGGCATTGATAATGATAAAATGATAAATGATCTCATGGGTTTAAAGTGGGGCTTGCGGTTTTTTATAGACAAGATCATCTGAATGATCAGCGCTCCATTTGTTAAACCTGATTCATCCACTAACACTTTTCCATTTACACAGAAAACACTGCAAATATAGAAAGTCAAATCTGTACATAGTTTTGAATTAAATATATGCAAGGAGGGAAGAAAAAAAAGTTCAAATTGAGGGTCTGAACAGTTCTTCAAAAAATACTGAGGTTTCAGTAGACATATCTTCTTATAATAGTTTCATATTACACAACAGCAAATCCACTGTCCACAGGACTTGGCCATGCGATACCCAAAAAACCTATTATCCATTTTAACATATATATTATTTATTTGCAATATAATTTTTCCCATGAATGCTTTACATAATAAGACAAATTGAAAGAATCTTAACCCCATTTTCTTCACAGTCGAAAGAGAATGTGGTACGTGTGAGTGAGAAGTTAATTCTATTATGGAAGTATCCACTGATTCAGTTGTCAGATGAGGTGGTTGTGTCATTTCTGCAATGCGTAGTCCACTAAAAAAAACAAACACTAGATAGGTTACGATTTTTGTTGGGATGATACGCCTTTCCAGTAGTCTAAAATATCATGGAGGTCCTCATCCTTTGCAAACTGGACTTTCTTACGCAGTGCATGCCCTGCAGCCATGTACTCCTCATCTTTATGCCGTTTTCGGTGGAGTTTGAAACGCTCCCAGATGCTATGTGAAGGTTTGCAGTAGTATTCAGGACTGGAGGAATAGCTTAGATTGTGGTACTGAGAGGACATCTGTGAATATGTTAAGTCTCTGGAGCGGGAGTGAGTAAGAGGCTCCAACATGGAGGACTTGTGGCTGTCAGGTCCTTCGAGCTCCTCTATCTGAGCATCGGGATAGGAGTGTCGGTGGGCACTGTACTGACGGATCTTTTCTGCCTCGGCCCTCAGGATGGCAGCAGCAGGTGTTACAGTGAGGATGGTCTCTCCTGTTGGAGAAGTTTTCTCTATATACTTGGATTCAGAACGATAAGGCCTGGGGCTTCTCATGGGCCCTCCCGTGGCTGTACTGGGCCTCTTTGGAGAGACATCAGAAGACCGATGTCTCTGCAGAGAGTGGTGGTAGCTATCCTTATACACTGGAGACAGAAGGCCAGATTTATTCTGTGGGTGTTCTGATATTAGTACAAGCTGGGGCTCTGCAGTGGATACTGCTCCAGATTTCACTCCTTGAAAAGAGGTGGATTCTGACTTTAACGCATCTATGCAGTTGTTTATTATCTGATTGACTTTATCCACCTCTTTTGCAATTGTGGAAATTTCTGCCACTGATCCCTGACTATTCCCAGCCATTCCCATATCACACTCCCGGCGGTCATGGTGATCCACACTTCGCACCTCCATGTAATTTCCTTTCATCATCTTAGGAGTATCACTTATCTCTTGAAATTTGTACTGCTCCATTTCACTTGCAGATGGTAAGTATGGCATACGTGCCATGCTCTCTCCTGCCAACAACTGCTTCTGCGACATTCGAGATATAGTCCCACCCTCAAGTTCTTGTCCATATTTAAGTTCCATTATGTTTTTCTTTAAACTTCCTGATTTTTTGTGCTTTTCATCTTGTTGGCGCTTTCTTCGCAAGCAATAGTACACAACTCCAAGAAATATAACCATGCTGAATAGGCAGCCCAAAATTGTCATAATGTAGTGAGTAGCAGTCGGTTCTTTCACATTTACGTCCTTTCCATTTCGATGGCCAGTAGAGACTGTCAGACATGTGTGGTTGTGTCTAAGAGAATTGCGTATTGAAGCAACACAATATGTGTAGTTGGTGTGGGGTTTAAGGTTTTTTAATTCAATGTCCTCTTTTATATCTTTTAGGTTTTGAATGTCTGTGAAAAAACTGTTGTTATAAAGAACCAAGATGTACATCTTCTTATAGGGATGAGGAATCTGAACTGTGATGATAGCACCTGTGTGTGTTACTTGCTTCACTTCCATCAGAGGAGTTCCCTGAACATCATTTTCAGGTGTACTGATGGTAGTGTCTTCTGGTTCTGTGCCTGATGGACAGTCTTCCACTCCACAAAGCGTTGAGTCTGGTGGTAGTGTTGTTGACTCAATGGGCACAGTTATAAATGGTGTTACATATTCATCAGTGCACACTTTGGTAAGCATGTACAGTGCATTTCGATAGTTTGGATTGTTAGGAATCTGGCTCAGTAAGCTATAACCGGAGACCCCGGGTGGGGAGTCGCAAACCATTCGTTCATTTGTTCTGTTTGGGAAAACTGAGAGCCATTTGACAAAACCAAGTAATTCACATGAGCAGTTGAAGGGGTTTGTGTACAACTCACAGGTGGTGAGTTTAGTTAAACTGGCAAACGTAGACCCATCTAACTGCTGGATTCGGTTCATGGAGAGGTCAATATTCTCTAAGTTGGGGCATTCCCAAAAGGCATTAGGTGTCACAGTCTCAATCAGGTTTGCCTGGAGGTAGAGGTACTGCAGCTTTCCTAAACCCCTGAGGATCCCCTCTGTCAAGTTCCGCAACTTGTTGAAGCCCATTTGAAGGACTTGCAAGTTAAACTGAGCAGAAAAGGCCCCGTCTTCTATGTAGGAGATTTCATTCTTGGTCAGGTTCAGGTAGGTCAAGTTGGCAAAGCGGCTAAGGGCAGAATAGTGGATACTTTTGATTTTGTTTTCATTCAGACGAAGGTCCACAATGGTGCTGTTGATATGCTGTGGGATGGCCTCATAAGGTGGCTGGTTTTGACTACAAATTGCGAGCCATACAAAGCCCTTTTCACCCTCAATTAACCAGCAGTCTCCACTGACTCTGCCAATATGAGTCAAATATACAATGGCTACAGACCAAAACAAGGCACTCATCACCATGCCTAAGCTGCAGGCCATTGGTGCTTCTTTGAGAGTCATGTGCAGGGCCAAAAGAATCAAAGGGGTGTGATACCGCTGCCGTTTCAGTACAGCTGTTCAGCTAATCTCAGGGCCAGAGACAATCCTTTTATTTGCCTCCTCTTCATTGATAGATGTGTGATGCTGGATGGTATCGCCATGTATCAATTAGAAAAATCTGCTTTCAGATTGAGGCTTGCCTGCAGTGAACTTGTGGCAACACTTAAAAGAGCATCCAGCACCTCAACTTGGCTTGTGCTTTTTTCCTTAGTGGGTACCATCATTAAATGGTCTCATCTTGTTGTTTCTGCCAGTTTCCTGCATCCTTAGCCTCTCTGGTGTGCATGGATGAATAACCTGTAAAATACAGAAAGGGACACACAGTTGACATTAAGTACACTTACTCAAGCCCTCCTTGTTTATTCCTCACCAATTATTTTGTACACCATTTAAGAAGTGTTTGCTGTTGCCTATGGCAGCCTGCTATTAAAGAAGACTGTTGACCAATTACCATTTGACAGGTTGGGGGAAACAGTGTCCCTGTTTTCACACCATTAACCTGAGGCCTGTCAGATGCAACTGAGGGAGGCCAATGTTAAGAAGCTGCATTAAATCAATTATACAGCACCATGCAAAATGACAATTTGCATCATGTATTTAGTTTTTCTCTCTGAAAACCTTCATGAATAAATTAAAACCTTTCTGAGCGCTGGATTATTTTGGAGGAAAGAGGGAAATCATGTAGCAGGTGTGATTACCATAGTGTTAAAATTCAATTAAAATCTTTTGCGTGAGGGAACGGGAAAGTGAGCAGCAACTCTCACTTTTAATTCTGCAAGTTTTTTGTTTTTATACAGACTCATCATTTTTCTGTGTAATATCTCTTTTGATCGCTGTTTTTACTCTTTGTACAGTTGATACTATTTCACTGTTGAAGACTTTATGGTAACATATCTTATTCCAGAATTTGGGTTAAGATAACTTTATTCTGCTCTTAGATTTCTGAGATTTTACTGAACATTTTGAGTCATATTTTTTTTTTAATAAAGTTAAAAAGTAAAGTTTAAAAAAAAGCACTTGATCCTATTTTGTCATTGTACACAAATATCTAGTTGTTAGATAACATAGTAGTGCTGTTCCTCCAAAACCCCGACATATGGTAAACATACCAAGAGGGTTTTATAGCTTATATACACAACTTTTCAATGATAAAATAATAAAAATAATTAAATACTGAGTGTATTATTTTCTCTTTGAAAATTTCATAGCTTTGCAACAAATTGTAGTAATACATTCAGTTCCATTCCAGAGCACAGTCATATTCTGTTACATCACAACTCAGTATTACAGACTCCATTACAGTGTTTAATTGCTCAAGGGTCGATTTCCTACTGCTAACAAAGAAATAAAAAAAATGTCTGCCGCGCAGGTATACAGTGGTGGGGAAAACCTCAATCACCTATAATAGCATGTCATTAAAACAATTTCCTGGATCAATTTTAACTTGCAGTGTGGCCATATTTGTACCTAATTGCTGTCTAAATGATGTTTTTGTGGAAACCAAATTTATTAACTGTTCTAATGTGAGAGAAAGGATTTCATCTGTCTACTTATTAAAGCCAACTGTTTATGCATTTTAATCAGTCGAACCTATAATGGGCAATTTCTATATTAATTTGAACACAGTTAATTATGTAGTTACTAGCCTTTCTAATTATTTACGCCGAACTTCAATATCATTTTATTGTATAGCGTAGTTAACACGAATTATATTGTGAGAAAACTAACTGGACTTTAATTATGCAGATACTACAACCAAAATATAAACTACAAAAATCTTCTCAAGTGGGCTTATTGTGGGGAATTAGGGGTCACCTGGAGTGAGAATGTGCTTTTGTGTGTTAGAGGACATGGCTCTACACACCACACTCAAGTAGATGTGACAGTTTATGGCAGAAAGAATATACTTCAACTTGAAACCACACAGACCACTGTGGATTTAAAGACCATTCATGCTGTAATTTGACCTTTGTGTAGGTTTATCACATTACAGTCACACTATTTGTAGTTTTGCTTATCATACACTCTACACTCAGGGGTGCCTCCAGAATTTTTTTCTTTAAAAAAGATGAGGGCGACTAAAAGTCTTGGGTGGCACACCAAAAAACATAATTTCCAGTTTTGGAAATGTCCGGCCGGGTGGCCTGTGCTCCTCCTGCCCTCCCCGATGGTGCTCCTGTCTACACTAAATAGTAATCCCTAATCTGTTGCCTTTTTGTCTTTTAATAGGATGAGCATCAATAACCATGTGTTGTGAGGCAAATACTTTAGGTCATAATAATGGCAGGAGTGTAAATGATGGCTTACCATTCAGTTAGCGTACATCCTCATGTCTCAATTGAATAACTGTCTGCCTGTAATGACTTTTACTTGCTGCTAATTTGCTTTGTGAATTAATTTGTGTGAATGTAAGTGTTGCCAAATTATGTTTAGTATATTTTTTTTGTTTAGTCTTTCAAGGGAAGGGAAAGCTGTGATTTTACTGTATGCAAGTATGTAAGTAAGTTGGAGTGGGTGATGGAGATTCATTTTTCCTGAGGACTGTGTGGTAGGGTTATGTAACATGGTGATAGAGAAAGATGTGTTGTCTTGGGTCTGGTTAAGGTTAAGAAACGTCATTCATCCATCCATTTTCTTTACGCTTATCAAACTTAGAATTGTACAGGGGCTGCGGCCTATCCCAGCTGACTTTGAGTGAGTGGAAAGGCACACTCTGGACAGGTTGCCTGTCCATCACAGGAAGACAAGACAAGCACACACTCTCACATCCACAGCTATAGCCAAGTTAGAATCACCTATTAACCTAACATGGATGTCTGTGGGTGGAAGCTGGACTACCAGGAGAACACACAGATGTAATCAGACCTGGCCAAAACCTTCTTGTTCTGATGAGTGTAGTACTGTACAGTGCTCATGGTTGAAATTCCACAATTGAAGCTCATATATTACAGAATGATTTTTCTGCATGTTTTCATGTGTTCCAGCTCTGAATTATTTCAAAAATTGAAAATACACAGCATACTGATAAACTGACATTGGACATTAGTACTGTTACCCAGGGCTTTGTATATTTAAAACTGATTTAAGTTGGTCTAGAATGGAGGTGTCAAACATAAGGCCTGGGGACTAGAATCAGCTTGGCATGGATTCCAATCCGGCCACTGGACAAGTTTGGAAAATGTGAATGGGGGCATACATTTTCTACAGGCCTCCTCCATGAGCATTCATATTACACCAAAGTAATTAAGTAATTCATAAACAATTAAATGAAAGAAGCAAATGTTGTTTTTTTCACTATCTAATATAGATTTTTTTTTCAAAACAGGTCCCAAAAAACAGTTTTCTGTGAATTAACAAAAAGTTCCTGCGTTATAATTACAACCCATTTGCCCAATGAGCTACCAGAACTGATTTTATAAATGTAATTTAGCAAATGTATTAAAAAACTGGAACATAATGTTGGAACTGTGTTTATTTTTATTTTTATTTTATTTTATGTTATATTAATATATCCAAGGAAATAAAAGTGTGGTTAAACTTTACAGTGGCCGACTTACGATCAAAGTGGGCAGCATGTTGCCCAGACAATAACATGGCTTTGATATCTGTGGCCTAGAGGATGAGATTATATGTAATTTTAAATATACACATTAGCCTGTTTTTCCTTTTATAGTTGATAAAATCGCCAGGTACAAAGCTAGTATGTTTTCATTGTCAGTTCAGCATTTCCACGACATTATCGCTCGACCAAATGTGTAGATGCAGAGCACAGCAAGATGTTTACTGTATATATGGAAACAGGGCTTAGAATTACCTCTCATAATATTTTGTTTAGTGTCAGGCAGTTTGAGGATTTTATGCTGTTTCACAATTGAGTTCTATTTATTGATCTTTCAAGTTATGTCTGCAAATCTGTCCTTATAATCACTTAAAAGCAAATGGCCCAAATTTTATTCAAAAATGCAACAAAAGACATCGTTTTGCAACACAAATGAAGGGCAATTTAGGTGCAGAGAAACAGTTTTCAATTACAGTTCTCCTTGGTTCACACAGTACTAAGCAATTATCTGCAATGAGGCTAAGATAATCAAGTAAAAGCACTACTCAGCTATTCAAGTGCAGATAAAGAGCAGAAATAAATGCTGTGGTGGAGGACACTGGAACAGAATGCCAAAGGCTGCCATTACAAAACTACCTTCATGATGACAAAAGAGCAGTGGCAGAGGAGCATTGAAGAAAAGAACACTCTGAAAACCCCTGGGAGGAAAGAGGTTCCAAATCAAATGTTCCATGAAATGAATATGAAAAATACAGCTCTGCAGAATATCTGGTGATTTTCTAAGGAAAGGCTGTATTTTTATTTCTCGATCCACTATGGCAGACATGGAGCTCATCTGATCTAGGAACCAACTTGTGACATACAGACTCTTGGTCAGGACTGCTAGGTGAATTCACTGGGTATTATTTGGTAGGATTTTCTAGCATGCTTGGTTAACAGTGCAGCCATTGGTAATTTTCTTCTACTTCATGGCCTTTTCCTAAAAATGGCCAAGTTTTTTCATCCATCAACCTAACCAAAGAGTGGGTAAAAAAGAAAGTGTATATTAAAAAGAAAGAAAGAAAGAAAGAAAGAAAGAAAGAAAGAAAGAAAGAAAGAAAGAAAGAAAGAAAGAAAGAAAGAAAGAAAGAAAGAAAAAGAAAGAAAAACAAGTCAGAAAAACAAGCCCTCCCACACAGGGCATAAGCTTCTGTCACCTAGTTGACATCTGTGTGATTTTATGCCAACGTTATCATACCTGCCACCTCATGGGGACTTTTTGGATCTTTGCTTTCTCTGCCCAGGGTGTCAAGAAACCAGCGCCGAAGGGCATGTTGTATATATCTCAGAGATGCCAATGGCTTTGTCAAAAATTGTGATATTTGATACCCTGAGAATTAGACCAAGCTTGACCTTAACTGGCTCACAGCATGGCATTGGTGTTAGATTGTTTTAGACTCTAAATTGAAGTTTAGCTTTAAATTTCCTTTAGAATGCATTACTTGTGTTTTGTTTATCCGCCATGACTCAATTAGACGAGCCTCCAAATGAGTCACTGCCTCACCACTGAAACCAGTGCACAAATTAGAGCCATGCTTGTTCCCCTTGTAAGGGTAAACACAACCATGGCCTTATACTGATAGTTAATACTGCAACTTTTAGTTAATAAAACATGGATTTTGCATTTAAATATTGCATAATATTTTACTTATTTGTATCCCAATGTATCCAAAACATATGGCAATAAAATCAAAGCCTG